TTTACGAGATCAGAAACTCACCTTTCCAAATACTCCAAATACGAACGGAATCAGTTGGTCAATTCCGTAAGGCGAATAACGAAAGATCTCTGTCCGCACAGCACCGGGATGAAGACTGTTCACAGTCACACCTGAAACTCGTTTCTTCTTATTTACTGGTTTAATTTTACTACTTCAGTCTATAATTATTGGTCCTATTATTTTAGACAAGCATGATGTGAATTCAAGTGAAAATGTATTTGGAAACATTTTAATCCATTTGAACAATAATATTTAGAAATATGTTTTCACTTTTCATTAGAATATAACGTGCGACAGGAAAGTCTCTCCGCACCGAGCCGAGCCAGGGACTCCTATTACAAATTGTATTTATGTTTGTAGCCACTAGGTCACTTTGGAAACAAGTGGAGGTGACAAAACTTCCAGCATCTGTTATGACTGTGGTGAGTACGCAATATGCTCTTTAATTGTACTACAATATTTTGTTTTTGCAAGCTGTAGCTCGTGATAGGTGCCACTGCGAACTTTCCTGGCGCACTGTATTTTCATTAGTTTTCCAAAAATCTCACCTGCACTGCGCAGACGTCGAGAGAGCTCGTTGGCCACGAGGATGTTTGCCAGTTTGCTTATTGCGTAAATCTGCAACTCCGGGATTCTTTTCGCGCGATCGTAGTCCAACATCTCGGCCCTCAGGGTGGCAATTTCGTGCATTATGGAAGACACGAACACGATTCGCGACGGCGAAGATTTTTCCAGTAAGTCCGCCAGCAGGAGCGTCAGCAGCAAGGGCCCAAAGTGGTTCACCTGCGCAAGGACCTCCGTTTGCCACATCAAACTAAACGGTTATTAAGTCCTTGTATAGTCATAGTTGTAGTGTGTTGTTACCAAAACGATTGTTAATGATTTTGAGTATGAAATTCATCTGGAGAGATGTTAGTAAATAAGATTTTAATGAAATGTCATTTTTTCTTTGGGATTTAGAACAATACCCATTGTTAAATATAATTTTTTGCATTTTTCCTTGATTTCGACTAATAAAAGGTTTTTTACCTTTTCCATCTTTTTTAATACTTTATCACTGATTTCATTGATTTTAATATGATTTTAATTGTACTTACTTCAAGTAATATTTACAAGAAGCAAGGAAGTTTCTCCACAAAATTCCTGAAGAGCCTGTACAATTTCTTCGCTCAGGAATTGTCATGTCAACCGTTGTGAGTATGTAATCTATAGTTACTGTGACGCTTATCATCACCATTGTCGGTTCGGCGGATTTCGCGACAAGACTTTACAAGACAGATTTTCTGGTAAAATCTGCGAGCTGAGTTTATAACAAACGGAAGAAATCTCGATTATATCAGTATCATATCCAATAGCTTGAAATGTTAGTCCTAGCTGGTTTTGATCACATTTTTTACGTAGTTTTTCTTTTCTTTTTGAACATTTTATTTATCAGTTTTGGCAACGTTTTAGGACATCAAAATACGACCAGTAGTAATAACGATTAAACAAAGAAGGTGGCGCTTTGTTAGCGATGCATGCAATAATGAATAAAATATGGCAATTTTGTATGTGTAAAGGCACAAACATAAAATACCCTTACGTGTCTCATCCTCCTGCAGGGTGGAAGTACATTCTACGAATTCATCAAAGTTTAGGGTGGAAAACGTGCAATTTTCAGAATTACAATAAAAGGAAATCAGCAAGTGCACATGCCACGGCAACACACGTTTCCATGCTTGCAAATCTCGCAAACGCTACTTACTTGGCTCTTAAAACCTAGGGTTCTCTTAAAACAAAAATTATACTTCTTACGTCAAAGTCTACGAAATAAGACCTTTTTGGACATTATATTTTTTATCCCTGGAAAATAGTACTATTCTGCCGTAGAGGTCGTTTAGAAACGCGCCTAGTTAGATTGTGGAATATGAAAAAAATGTCCTGCGTGTGTCACTGATGAAAATCGGAACTTAATCTCATTACTGGCAGGATTGTTGTGCACGCATAAGATTTTGACAGATGGTGACCACGTGCTTCATTAGGGAGTCTGGAACAATCGTCCAATAAGATTAATATAAGCGGAATAAGCGGTGAATACTACGCTTCCTTGTTTACATCAGGATCATTCTAAAACGATTGACTAATTGATTAGAGATTCTGGGCGTATCACCTGCCAAGGTCATTACTCTCATAAGAGTAGTGCATACATTTTATCGCGAGAGGTGGCAGTGATCTTTCGCCGCTGTACGGCGAGATCCGGCACCGACCTACCGTTAGCGGGGATGTTCCTCAACCAGGTATCTCCCACCAGCGGGGAAAAGCTTCAGCCGCGAAAAGCTCTAAGCTCCCGACAGGTCTCCCGGCTTGTGTGGTAGTGCAGGGTATGTAAGTGTGTGTGTGTATGGGGTGAGGATTTGGAAGAGAATGGGAAGGAAATATTGGGAGCGGTCCATGGCCCGTTTGTTAGGGTACTACTGCGGCATTTGCCTCATGTTGATCGGAGAAACCACGGAAAACTACCGATGAGAGCAGCTAGGTCTCTTCCAGACAGAGGTTGAAACCGACCTAGTTACGTAGACAGTGTCGAAAATCCTGCCATCATCGGGATACTGACTTAGGATCTCCCGCTCAGAGGCACTGCAGACATCATTCTGAGACGGAACACAGATTATGCATCTATTTTTTTAACGTGGCGTCTCATGGTCGCGCATGGAAAAGAGAGAGTGAGGGCAGAGTCCAATAGGGAGCTGCAACGTCACCAAAGTTTTCATTTTTACGGGTCCCTCTAGGAATCTGCCTTCCCTCTCTTTTTTTCGTGAGCGGCAAGCAGACGCCACGTTAAAAAAGTCGGAAGTGTAGTAATAGGAAATTGCACCCTGACCTGGAGGCCGAGGTGCAGGCCGTCCTCCGTCTGTCGGTTGCCCAGATAGCCCGCGCCGGCGTTGTTGACGAGGATGTCGAGGCGCGGCTCCGTGGAGAGGACGGTGGCCGCGCAGGCGCGTACCGACGCCAGCGACTCCAGGTCCAGCGGCAGCAGCTTCACCGCCGCGCCCTTCGACGCCTCCGCGCGCACCAGCTCTGCAGACACGGCGTCAACACTCAAAACTCGTTTTCCTACTGTTTGTAAAAACTACGTAATCTAATATATAAAAAAATATTTGTTTATTGGTTGGTAGGTTGGCTTGGGTTTAATGCGCTGCGGTACCGTTCGTTCGATTGCGATAAATCTTTTGTCTTTATTGTTTTCACTTCAAGGAAGAATATATGCACCGTACAATGGAAATGTGCGCATGCCTGCTCAAAACAGGCGCGCGTTGGTGATGATTTTATGCTGATTCAAGCGCCTTGAACTGGGCGCTCTACATAACGGCGTTCGGCGCAAACCTGCCGCACCCTGAAGTGCGATTATTAAGACGTCTTCATAGCGTATTCTGCCAGTACGATTGTGAAATTTCTCTTGGGAGAGACAGTTACAAACAGAGACAGAGGACACCAGAGACGCATAAAGAGAAGAGTTAGCAGACGCAGAGAGACGCAGAGTTAGTAAGTAGGACTCTTTGGGAGAAAGACAGTGAAAATATAATATTATAACCTAAAATACCAGAGAGATTTGTAATCATTTCTGTGTGGATGGAGTGCCTTTAATAACAGTCGAGGGGTGACTTATTAGTATTTTTTGGCAAATAAATAATGTAATGCAGATATTCAACAACGATCTCTCTATTACTTGTAACATTATTTAATATAAAGCAACTGGCTTTGCATCTTTCAATTATTCCAAAGTAATGACCAAACGTTTTGATGCTCAATTAGAAAACAATGTTGAAAATGTGTAGGGATACTTGAAGCTGATTGCATACTTGAAGGATAAAAGACTTGCTGACGTTGATGCTGCGAAAGTAAGAAAGAGGAAGAAACTTTGCCGTTGAACAAGGAAAAAGTATCACTTCTGCCAAAAACAGTGTAACATCTGAGACAAATGATGTTTCGAAAACTAATGGAGAATTGTCATCAATTGACGAACTCTCGCTTAGCAGTGAAAAAGATACAAATGAAGTATCAATGTCCACACCAACTTCACAAGCACTTACGCAGGGAGCGTACGTGTTGATAAAGGTGATGTTCAGAAAGCGGATATGCACAA